TGGCTACGCCACTGATCGTCGAAAACTAACGTAGTAAAAACAAAAATAATGTTCTTAATTTAAAATTTGATTTTAAAATAATTCACTCTAATACTTAATCTAAAAACGCAAAATTGGTTTTAAGTGACATACATATTGTCTAGTATGTTCACGTAAGATGCAGGTAAWACGTTGATAGCGAGTGTTGCGATGCCAATTTCTAAGACGTGAGGCATGACCCAYGATGGAGGTACACCCAAATTGCCTATACATAACGCCATGTAACCTATAATTCTTTTATTGAAATTTGAAACTAATAGTTTAAGTAGATTTATAATTTATAGTACGCTGTATGTGAGTCATATTCATAAAACACATTTGAACCAATAATTATTGTTAAGTAGATACGATTGTATCTATTTTATTGTTACCTAAAATATGGGATGTAGGGATGTTATTATTTATTAATTATTCAAAGAAATCTATACTTACGCTAGACATTTGCATAACCGCTTGTAAATACGTTTCGTCTTTTTCCGCCTTCTTCCGGAACCGGACCACTTGTTCCGGGTCGTCCAGATTTATATCTTTGGGCCAACCACCTTCTGTGTGAAAAATTCCACGTTCGGCATACTCCACGCGCACAGTATTCGCCTATATAACAATGTATCGTAAAAAATTAAGTACAATGACGGTGGTGATCCCTAAATCGTTTTTCCAGGTTATACAGTAGATGTTACTTATATGCAGTGGTGTTCAAAAAAACGGTGAAGTGTGCCTACGACAGGGACACAAATTGTGATTGGGCGCAAAATTATGCTTCAAAATTGGTATTTATTTATTATCTCCAATACGTCATTTCTTMATTATAAATTTTTTTATGTGTATGATTTAGTTTATCTATACACACTACTGKAAATTTCCCGTTTCCCCCTTAATTTTTAGTTTGTTTATACCGATTGTTTAGAAAAATATTGACAATTTTTAGATTCGCTTTCTGATCGAACGAGGTACTGAAGTCGAAAATCGAAGCACTTTTATTGCCCCAAAACGTGATGTCAGACACAAAACAAAAAAAACACACTTCATTTTAAAGATATATTGACCGTCTTATGGTTACGTCGTTTATAATGATAAATTATTATATTATTTATAACCGTATTCTTCCGTATTACGATTTCGAACCGTTTTCTTTAAACACAATCATTAAACTGTCTTATAATGTAGTCACAGTAATATAATATATKTTCTTCTGTTAAACAAGTTTTATGAGTATAGTGTACAAGGTGTTACAGATATAACTGGCTTTTGGAATGACTTTTGTTCAAATTAATGTTTTTTATTTATTTATTATTATTATTATTTTTTGGTCATTAAGTGTCGCTAGCCCTATATGTATAATACATTTTTTATGTTTATTTTTAGAACTCAATATAAAAAAAAAATTAATTTGGTAAAAAAGTTTTTGGATAAATTCAAAATAGCCTATTTTGAATCTGATTATAAGAACAATTTTGATGGTAAAAAGAATTATCTAAGTCAAGTAATTTAGTTTTTAGAATTTTTTTAAAATTCAATATTTCTTTGGTTAAATTAATTTTGAACGTAATAACTTTTAAAAAAATATGATTTTTATGAATTTTCTGTCAAAAGTATATTTCTCAAATTATTTACTTATCATATAATATTAAATTAGTTGTCATACGTTTAATTAGAATAATTGTTTATTTTTAGTCAGTTATTTTTGTTATACCTTGTTATTTAGTCTTATGTTGTGGTACTGGTACACTGGTATATGTATCGTATAAATTATGCAGTAAGCCCAGTAAGGGTTTACAGTCGTTGGAAAGTATAATATACATTGTTCGCTGATTAAACCTCGTCTGAAATGTTTTATAATAGCTTAACACTTTAAATAAGATTATTTTGAACTCTTTTTATATCATTATTTTTCATAATTTATGGTTTCGGGTTTGACATTAATGTAATGCTTAAAAAGTTGATTTTAAATCGTGTTAATAGCGAGGCACAATTTTAATGTATTTTGCAACTATATTTGGAAATAATAATCATTTTTTTTTTAAAAATTAAATTCGATTTCCTTTAATTTGTGCTGAATCAAAACATGATTAAAACTAATAATTTTTAAGTTAAGTTAGGAGAATACATTATATCTATATATTTTTTAAATTCTATAAAAGAATAAAAGAATAAGAGTATAAGATCAGTGTAAATGTACGCATTTTGCTAATAAATAATATAAATGTGTGTTGACGTTGAGAATATTATAAACATTTTATTTTGTTATTTGTTATGCATGTGATATTTTTAAGATACATATACATTTTTTGATATTACGTTCCTAATTTATGTACATAAAACATGATATTATTATACTTAAAATATTATGCCTGTCATTTTTGTTCGCACCATACTTATTAATGGTGATTAGAGTCAATCACTGATTATTAAATCTGCAACCTTTGATATTTTATAAAAAAATATTTCGGTAGCAAAAATTGTTTATCCAATATTAAGGTAAGTACCAATTATCTATTTCATTGCGAGTAGTGAATTTACTGGTTTTAGAATGTTTGTTTCATTTATTTTTATTTTTTTATATAAACTTTGTGGATACAATTAGTTTCAACAATTACAATTAAAATTACAATTACCAATTACTAAATACAAATACAATATAAAATTAGATTAAAAAGCCTGAATGGTTAAAGAAAGATAATATATTTAATATGATGTTTTTGTTTGTTTCATTTATATGATGTTTTGAGTAAAGACGGTTTACCATACTATAGTATAAATAATAAAACTTAATAGCTTAAAATATTAGTGAAAATCGAATATCTTATGGCTATAAATAGCGGTACTTTCTTGTAAACATTTTAAGGTAGAAAAACCGATGAAAAATATAATATAAATTTATAATAATAGCTATGAAAGAAAAATTTATATGAATTTCTAACTGAAAAATAATTTGTGAATTTTCGTGAATTTTATGAATTTTGTCAACATTTTAACTTTAAATGCGTATAAAAAATAATCGTGCATATTTATCTTTAATATTGATAACCTTGTAATACATTTTTAACTTATTTTACCAAGTAAAATGCATTCATTAATAATAAAACACGTTGATTGCCATGCGGCCGCCGTCGTCCGTATAAAAATAATAAGTTATTGATAATTTTTAGACTATCGGCTGCCGCACCATATCATTCGTATGAGGCCATACGGCCGCGGGCTGCCGTAAATTAATTTGGATTTATATCATTAACTTTTCCGTGGCGCAACAATAATGATCTTGAAAATATGCTGTAGCGTAGTGGGAATAATTGAAATTTAAATTTTTTTGATGTAATAAACATAATTTTTTTTTAAACATATTTATTTTAATTTGTACAATCTGTAACAGAAATTAACAATAAGCACAGTGGAGGGTTATCTAGTAGGTCTTGGTTGGCTTGGTTGAAGAAGCTATTCAGTAATACCACTTCATGGCGAGATAGTATTGTGATTAGTGGGCTAGTTAACTATCCACTAATAGATCACGACACCACCTACGTTTTAAACGTCGGCCAGGGTCACCCGGGATTGTTCGTGAAGAGAGGTTTTGGGTGAGGGGGTTTCGGTTATTTGCGAGTTTGAGGTGGAAGCGTTTGTATTGAGTTTTTGCGACGTTTTTTACTGTCGGAGTGAGGAGATTCCTGTGTAGTGTGTCATTCGACACATAAAAGGAGCCTATAAACATAATTGAACATTTTTTTTTTGTATTTTAATTTTTTTTTCAAATTTAATAGTATATATTATACAAATACAATTGTATGATGACTCTGAAAAATGTGCTTAGCGTACCCATGATAAATATTTTTGAGGCCACCGGCGCGGCGGCCGCATGACAGTTAAAGTATCACAACAGACAACGGTTATTAGTTTAAAGTTTCACAAAAAAAAATAAAATCGATTTTATATATCAGAACGGTACCAATTTGCCCAACTTTTTTTAAATTAAAAAAAGCGGGAAAGTGGATGTCGTTCTGCTGTATAGTAAGTTACAAGTTGGTTACTGTAATGGATGGATTTAAATTTGAATCCAATGACATTATATCATTGTATACGAAAAACGATTCTGATCGAAAACGGTTTATCTGTCTAGGATATTATATTATAGATTATTAAAAAAAAAGTTTTTATGGCAAAATTCAAACTTTGAATGCTTATAAAAAAAATTGTGACTATATATTTCTTTTATTTTTCAACTGCTATTGTATAAATATGTTGGGAGCCTTGTATTAAATTTTCAAATCTTAGAATTAAAAAGAAAAACTTTTATGAATTTCAATCTAAGATAATTTGAACATTGCCGTAATTTTTACGTATTTAGTCAAAATTCGAACTTTAAATGCTTATAAAAAAAATCATGTCTATGTATTTTTAATATTTTTCAACTGCTATTGTTACAATGTGTTAGAAGCTTTGTATTAAATTTTAAAGCTTTTCTACCCAACAAATAAATTATATCGATATTTAATATTTATAGAAAAAAAACCAAAAAATTTGAAAAATCAAAATGTCAGTAAACAGCTTAAAACAAATCTGAATATTTTGAAAATTATATCAAATAAATTAAATGTCTATATAAACATTCAGTGAAAATTTCAAGTGTCTGCGGTCATTTGTTTTAGAGTTACACCAAAATAAGRAAATTGCTAAATGTAAAATCCAGTGAAAATCAAATGTTGTAAAAAATTAATTTGAATTTCCAGTGGAAATTTTTTTTTTGTGATAAGATTGACAAACTT